CATCTTTGAGGAGATGGTTGGTGGTGTCATGTAGATGTGCAGTAAGGTTTGGAATGTTTAATGTCTAATTGTGGCCTGACCTAGCCTTTGAGGTTATGATTTTAAAAACTAGAAATATGTCTATAGGACATGAATGTCCCACTGGATGTATATTACTCATGCTACAGGAAAATTTGTATTAGCGTATTAAGTTTGTTGAAAATATCTTGAACAGTTTCTTTAGAATTGAAACTAAAATCTAAATAAATTTGATATAGATTATAAATCCTCACCAAATTATGTATAAGTGCATGCTAAACATAAAAATGTCTTAAATTATTTCTTTAAAACTAAGCAAAATACAAATTAAAAAGGATGGAGGTCAAGGTCAGAGGAATGTGCAAGGTGAAGTTTTTGACGAAGTTATCAGCATATTATGTTTGATAAAAATATCTTGAATGATTTAATGAAACTGACCTTAACACTTTTTCTAAGAAAAGAGAGGTCAAAGGAAAGGTAAGGGCCAAAATGTTAATTGTTGCAGTTGAAAAGCTTACATCAGTATGAATTTACTATTAGCATATGAAGTTTGATAAAACTATAATTAATGGTTTATTTAAAACTTAGATAAACACAAATTTAAAAAGTGAGGTCAAGGTCAAAGGAAAATTCAAGGTCAAAATAAGTTGATGTATTAATAGCTCTCAGCAGTATGTATCAGCATATGAAGTTTGATAAATATATTTTGAATTGTTTACTCAAAATTGATTTAGACATTAATTTTAGAAAAGTGAGGTCAAGGTCACAGGAAAGGTCAAGGTAAAAAAGAGTGAAGTATTGTAAAGCTTACATAAGTATGTATCATCATGTAAAGTTTCATTACACAAATTGAATGGTTTCTTTAAAATAAAGCTAAACAGTAATTTAAGGAGGCTAGGGGGTCAACAAATTATTTTTTATTAACCACCGGTTATAACTTAAATTTGGGGATATGATATCTTAAGCTGTCAACTATCATTTGGCAAAAAAAAAATTCAAAGATTTTAGTTTTAAAATTTGATCATTTTATCATTTTTATTATACCTTTATATGGAGCTCTTCTTCTAAAGGAGATCAAAATAGTCTAAAAATGGCCGCAACCACCCAGCCTCTTTAAAGAAAAGTTACGTGAAGGTCAAAGGAAAAGTCAAAGTCAAAAAATATTGCTGCAGTTGGATATTTACATCAGTATGCATCAACATATGAACTTTGATAAAAATATCTAGAAAGTTTCTTTGAGCCCAATGGAAAGACAGATGGAAGGGTGGAGGACGGACATGACAAAAACTATACATGTATTCCTAATCATGGTGTGGCATAAAAAACTTGAATCTACATTATATGACGATGTTTCCATCTATCAAGATTATACAAGCAAATTCAAAGAATTGTGGTCCTCTGCTTTCTGTGATTTAGTGAATGGGATGCCATAATTTATGGCATATTATGTCATTGAATATGCACCCATATCATATATCAATTTTTGAAAATTAGGTCAAAGGGGTAAAATCATAGCATGTTCTGAAACATTTTGTTGCAGGTAATGTACATGTCAAATATAAAAGTCATATCTCTTTTGAATCAAAATTTATATATACAATATAATATTTTTGAAAAGTAGGTTAAACTTCTAGGTCAAGGTCACAGAGTCAAAAGTAATGATATATTTAGAAAAGTCTTTTCACATGTAATAAACATGTATAATTTGAATGCCCTTTCTTTTCTCTTTCAAATTGATCAATTTAAAATGTTATTTTTTGGAAAGTAGGTAAAACTTTAAGGTCAAGGTCTCACTTGGGTTAAAAAATCATAGTATATTTAGAAAGTTTTGTGGTAATGTACATGTGAAATAGGAAAGCAGTATCTCTTATTATTCAAAAGTTATGACCAAGGTTAAAGCTGTCAATAAAATGTACAAACTGACAGACAAATGAGATTTAACGTCCCCTCCCTTTCCCCAAAACGGGGGACAATAATGCCCTTGCTGTTCTTGAGAAGAAGATTTATGATGGAAAAAATCCCCTGCATATTTCTTAACGCAAATCAATATTGTGTTTTTATGTCATTTTGTTTGTTATTAAACATCCCTCTCAGGAATTTTTCACTCATATGGAGACACCACCACTTGAAAAATAATGACAGAGGACAAGTTAGATTTGAGGTCAACATTCATTTTAGGAGTTTTCAACCATTAAGACATAAAGAAATATTAACTCGATCCTTCCCCTCACCCCTTCCCAGACCCCTGTTTGTTTATGTATGCAAACTACTACTTGTATTACATTAAAAAAAAATTATACGAATAGTTTAATGTGGTCCATCTCTGAATGATTTTCATTCCTATTCTTAAGGCCGCCGCCAGAAGATAAGTTGACACAAATTCATGAAAAAAATGTCAAGTAATCTTATCATTGATGCACTTTTATTTAATTTAATGCAGTCATATTGTGAACATTTCCAGCTCATTAGGAGTGGGAATGACCTCCAGGGGTTAATTCATAACCTTTATACCATTAAATTTACATAACATAATAACACAAGAAACAAAATTATGGAGAGTCAAATGGAAAAACTTTCCAACTATTTAGGAGTCACATGATCATTTGTCATTACAGGGACAGGGAGTGGATTGGCTGATCGCCCTCTCACCCCCCCCCCCCCCCTTGGAATTTGCAGGACTATAACATATACTGGAGGAAATAAAAATGACTTTGTATGCCCTAAGTGTCCCTCCACCTTAGAAAACAGACCCAAACATAACTTCTTTTTTTTTTAGCTTCTCAGGAAATTCTGGTCTGGAAACCCCCCTCCCTCCCAGTCCCAGAAAAAAATTCTGGATCTTGTAACTGAATGTAACGTTGATAACGGGGGATAACTCTTCAGAATGTCAAAGCATCGGATGACCTTTGATCCTTTAAACTTGAACCTAACCGTTTGCATTTCAGACTATTTTACCCAAATCTATACCAAAACTTTGTACTTACCGATTGTCATTATTTAGGTCCTGTAATCTTCATGAAATATAATCCAATTAAAACACAAAATGAAATAATTCCTATATGCAACGATGTGTATACCACACTAGTAGCCTACTGCACGTGCAGTGAAATCTAAAAATGATAATGCCAATGGTAAAACTAGTACTTAAGTTGGGTACGTGACGGAAGCCCAATGTGATGCAGGTGTTCAAATACATGTATAGTGCAAGAACAAATTGAAAATTACAACTTACGAAAGATGTTTTATCTTAACTTTCCATCTAGGCCTATTTCCAAAAACAGGCAAATTAGGTGTGTTTGTGTGTGTGTGTTGATGGGAGAGGGGTGGGGGTTGACTAAATTGATTGTGTATACATGTATATGGCAGCTTTCAAGAAGTTTAGAACTGCCTTGTCAAATATAAATAAACTTTGCACATTTTGAAAAATTCATCAAAAACTCTTTACACTAATTTGAATAATATTATTTGTTGATTTATAGATATGAGAAAATAGATTTAAAAAGTTCCAATTATGTGCCAAAAATTTATAACCCCCCCCCCTTTATCAAACCTTATTTACATCATTAATTAATTCTGTTGTTTAATTCAGACTAGTAATGAATTAAGGATATGAAATACTTATTAGATGGAGGCCCATGGGTCACATGGTCACCTGAGCATATTATGCTCAATTTGATAAAACATGTAATATGTAAATTATTGAATTATATTGACTTTTTCCTTGGTAAAGCCCAATATGAAGAAGTGTGCATTTAGAGGCAAACACCTTAGTGTGGGTATTACTGTCTCATGACAGCATCTAGTTGAACAAGTAATTCAGAGAATCTGTGTACCCCTCTAGGAAATAAGAAGAGCATGTGCGAATCAGGGGGGGGGGGGGGGGGGCGCGAAGGTTGGGCAGGACACTTTAAGAGGGGTAGGCAGGTCATAGGGAGTTATAAAAGTTTTATTGCAAAAGATTCTGTAGATCTCACCTGGAAATGAAACTTTTACACACAGACAGAATGTATAAATTTAAGACCTTGACCTTTGACCTGAAAATCAAGAGGGGTTTTCCATAGGCCATAGAGGGTTTTGGTACAAAATTTCACTGCAAAATCTCAAGACTTCTTGAGACATGGTATGAAAATGACAGTTTTAAAACAAACAGAATTTATTATTTTAACCTTTTGACCTCAAAATCAAGCAGGGTCTGACTCTTCTTTAGGCTGTAAGGAGTTGTTAACAAGTATTTTAAATTTCATTGCAAATTATTAATGCTCAAAGACTCCTTGAAATTTCACATGGAAACAAGGTGTTACAGACGGATGGATGGACAGACTAAAAGTTTTAGGTGCAGTTTTCTTTTTCATTTTATGCTAATTAGATCAAAATTGCATGAATTTTGCATCTTTGGATGTACATTTCTAGATTATGAATTTACTTAAGGACCACATTCGTTGTGAACTCAGAAATCTCAGATTATGTTTTCTTTTCTGAAGAAATGGACATTATGTGACAATCAACATCTGAAAGAAAACTCAAAATGTTCTATTTAGTTGGAAAATTTACCATTTTAATGAGCTTCATAGTAGTCTTTTATTTCTGTTACAGCTTTCTTAGGTTATCATTACTGTTTATGATTCTTTGCTCTTGATGAATTAAGACAAAAACGGAATAGCATTGGATAAATGCTGAGGTCTGGGTTTAGAACTTTTAACTGGCATTCCACAAGACCTGGAGAAGTTCAATGAAATCCAAAGGATTTTAAAATGTAAAGATTCCTAGAAACACTGAGAAGCATTACTTATTAAAATTAATGATTAGCTGACACTTGAAAAGAAATTTTTAAAATTAACTATTTCCACTTGATTCACTTATTTACAATTTAAAACAAATGAACAATGTTTTGTTCACATAAACTTTATTTTTCTCCATTTTTCGTGTACCCAGATTTTTTTTCTTCGAGGTCTTCCTCACACCAGATATTAATAATGATTTATAGAATTTGTTCTCACAGTTCAGTCATTGGCTATTGTTACCCTCTCCATGTATTTGAGTGTAAGACTGTCAATCTATTTTTGTAGGGGCTGAGTTATCCAGTGGACAAGGACTTTGTGATCGGGAAGAAATGTGACCTGAATCACCTTCTTTATAAACTGACCAGTCTGGAAGCTCTTGTGTCCTCTTATGACCTCTCTATGAACTCTACTGGACAGTTTGTGTGTGACAAACCTACTGCTGAAAGGAAGGTCTACAAATAGATTTCTGTTTATAAGCAGATAAACTTCATGATTTTTAGCTCTACTGGTCAGAGACCAGAAGAGCTTATGCGATAGTAATGCGTCCGGCGTCCGTCCGTCTGTCTGTCTGTCTGTCCGTCCGTCTGTCTGTAAACAATTTTTCAAAACGCTACTCCTCCTACAATTTTAGTCTGATTTCAATATTACTTGGCACACAAGTAGACTACACTAAGATACATAGAATAGTGCATGGGTTTTTAATTTCGATGAACGGTGTTGCCATGGTTACTAAAAATAGAATTTTCTGTGAAATTCCTTAAAAACGCTACTCCTTCTACAGTTTTGGTCTGATTTCAATATAATTTAGCACACAAGTAGACTACACTAAGATACATAGAATAGTTCATCGGTTTTTGATTTCGATGAACGGTGTTGCCATGGTTACTAAAAATAGAATTTTCTGTGAAATTCCTTAAAAACGCTACTCCTTCTACAGTTTTGGTCTGATTTCAATATAACTTGGCACACAAGTAGACTACACTAAGATACATAGAATAGTTCATCGGTTTTTGATTTCGATGAACGGTGTTGCCATGGTTACTAAAAATAGAATTTTCTGTGAAATTCCTTAAAAAACGCTACTCCTTCTACAGTTTTGGTCTGATTTCAGTATAACTTGGCAAACAAGTAGACTACACTAAGATACACAGAATAGTGCATCGGTTTTTGATTTCGATGAACGGTGTTGCCATGGTTACTAAAAATAGAATTTTCTGTGAAATTCCTTTAAAACGCTACTCCTTCTACAGTTTTGGTCTGATTTCAGTATATCTTGGCACACAAGTAGATTACACTAAGATACACAGAATATTGCATCGGTTTTTGATTTCGATGAACGGTGTTGCCATGGTTACTAAAAATAGAATTTTCTGTGAAATTCCTTTAAAACGCTACTCCTTCTACAGTTTTAGTTTGATTTCAAAATAAGTTGGCACACAAGTAGACTACACAAAAATACATAAAATAGTGCAATGGTTTTTGATAAGTACAAACCAGTAGAGTTACAGTCATGACAGAGACTTCTGGTTAATTGAAAATATTACAATGACCCAAATGCAAAATCCTATGCATGAAAGCATGCATAAGACAAGACAATAAGAACTTTATATTTAACTCAAACTACATTTTATTCAGTTATAAATGACATTAACATTTCATATAAAATGATGTTCTTTGAATAGATATGAAATTGTTGAAGGTTATGTATGGTTACAATTATTTTTATTAGCTCTACTGGTCAGAGACCAGAAGAGCTTATGCGATAGTAATGCGTCCGTCGTCCGTCCATCTGTCTGTCTGTCTGTCTGTAAACAATTTTTCAAAATGCTACTCCTCCTACAGTTTTGGTCTGATTTCAGTATAACTTGGCACACAAGTAGACTACACTAAGATACATAATTCTGTGTATCGGTTTTTGATTTCGATGAACGATGTTGCGGTGGTTACTAAAAATAGACATTTCTGTGGAATTCTTTCAAAATGCTACTCCTCCTACAGTTTTGGTCTGATTTCAATATAACTTGGCACACAAGTAGACTACACTAAGATACACAATTCTGTATATCGGTTTTTGATTTCGATGAACGGTGTTGCCGTGGTTACTAAAAATAGAAATTTCTGTGAAATTCTTTCAAAATGCTACTCCTTCTACAGTTTTAGTCTGATTTCAATATAACTTGACACACAAGTAGACTACAATAAGGTACATAATTCTGTATATCAGTTTTTGATTTCGATGAACGGTGTTGCCGTGGTTACTAAAAATAGAAATTTCTGTGAAATTCTTTCAAAATGCTACTCCTTCTACAGTTTTAGTCTGATTTCAATATAACTTGGCACACAAGTAGACTACAATAAGATACATAATTCTGTATATCAGTTTTTGATTTCAATGAACGGTGTTGCCGTGGTTACTAAAAATAGAAATTTCTGTGAAATTCTTTCAAAATGCTACTCCTTCTACAGTTTTAGTCTGATTTCAATATAACTTGGCACACAAGTAGACTACAATAAGATACATAATTCTGTGTATCGGTTTTTGATTTCGATGACGCTGTTGCCCTGGTTACTAAAAATAGACATTTCTGTGAAACTCTTTCAAAATGCTACTCCAAATAAAATTTTAGTCTGATTATAATATAAATGTGGCATGCAAGTAGACTGCACTAAGAACATAAAGAGACTTAATCAAGGATCATTATTCTATTTATTGCTGTTGAAAAGTTTCAATTTCCAACTGCTTAAGTACTTTTCTCTTCCTTTGCTATAAGTACAAACCAGTAGAGCTTCAGTCTCGACAGAGACTTCTGGTATTTTGAAGGCCTTGAATGCCCTGATTTACTGGTCAGTTTTGACCTTTAACCCCTCACTGACCAGAGTTCTATGGAAGCAGTCTGACCAGCCGATGGTAATGGCTCTTGTAATCAGTATGATCTGGCACACACTGGCCACAAAATGGTGCAGCAGAGATTTGGACATCAAAAGACAGCTCAGTGATTCTGCTATGTAAATACTCATCATACTCATCATTATTAGGCTAATTATAATTAGCCATATACATGTATATGTATATGCATTTTATTTAATATGTTTTACGGCGTGACCGTTGAGGCGAGCGCAGTTGTACCATCAAAACACTTGAAAAATTGATCAGCCACTTCAAACATCAAGTCGCACGAGAATTTCGACTAGCTTTGACGTCACATGACGTCACGGAGCTCGTCGGAGCTTACGGAAACGGCCGAGCGTCTGTTTTAAACTATTGATCTAGCACAATTTCGGTCGAAAAACATTGCAGAGTTATTTTTTGTTTCTTTGAAAGATTTCTACAAACTGAAAGCTTTTTATGCTTTACGTTATTGTTTATTTATTTATCTATTTCACGGAAGCAACCGACATGACTTAATTAGCATATCGTCAAAATTTGTAAGTTTCCGGTGACGCCATTTGTATCATTTCCGAAGGGCAAGGTGAAAGCCGGTGTTGTGGCATGGGGGTATTTTTTTTAATAAGGTAAGGCAAAATCATTTCGTTAAGATTTCGGTAAGAAACACTGTTCCTTTATTTTTTTTTACTATTTTTGATTTATTCGCGCAAAAGACATTGGGTAGTGCAGGAATTCTGGGAATGTTGCACAGACAAATTTGGCTGACGTATGTACAGATTTCAATCCGAATTTCCTCTGTTCTTACACGTTAGTTTATTGAGCTCGCTTCGCGAGCGTCGCTTCGCGACGCTCGCTGCGCTCGCTATAAACTTATTTCTGTGACTTTATGTTCATTAGGACATTTTGTCAGTAGGATACACATAGAGATGCAGATGCCCCTTTTTAGCCAAAGGCTTAAAGAGCTTATGCTATGGCCACTTGTGTGGTATTCATCAACTTTTTAAAAAATGGCCAAATAATTTTTTGATGGCCTCCAGATAAGTTATCTGATGGCCGCCAGATATGTTTCATTCAACAAGGTGAGCTTCGTAATCTTTGATTACCTATGTTTATGATCTGGTATTATAGAGAGTTTGGAAAACAGGCTGTTAAATTATTGGACCTGAGCTACCAAGATTCATGCCTAACAGCCATTGCTTCATTAGATGAGAAACTACCAGAACTTAACAATAAAACCACCATAAAACTAGCCCACATTGCTCGGAATAAATTCTTCATTGCTCACAAAAGTTGTCAGAAATGGCTGCTTCAGCGTTGGCATGGTAACCTACTCATTAGAGAAGTGGATTATGGGGTGTTCAGACTACCCAACTGGTTCAAGGTTTGTAGACAAGACATATCCTTAAATCACTTTCAAAAGTTTATCAATTTCAATTTCATATTCCCAAACTGGTTTTTAAACGAAACATGTATGTGCATTTAATTAAGAATCCTTATCTGGATTCATTTGAGGTTTGTGACAAGATATGTGTTTAATTCAGTTTCTAAAGGGATTCAAGTTTTGTAGTCAAGACATATGTGTGGATCTTCAGTTCACATCTTTATGATATCAGGTCGTAATGAGTTGAAATTTCTTACAGTATAAAAGTAATGAGGTGTATTTCCTAACAGTGTAGAGGTGATGAGTTTTTCAAAATGTAAAAGTAAATTGTGTTCCTCTTAATCCCATGATTTGTAGGAATTCCCACACAGAGTTTGGTTGTAAAATGTTCTCTTTGGACTAGGTCTTGCAAAATTCTGTATGTAAGTTTTTACATGGAAAAATCCCAAGTCAAAAGTGACTCAGATATAATTTAATGATGATGATCGGGAGCTTATTAGCCTTCTTTTGCTTGTAGATATACATGAGTGTCTTTTTCGTCTTCCCCATGTTGTTTTGGATTACGTATGAGATTAAGAAAGACCCAGAAGCAAAAACGCCAGGTAACGTGTATACATATACTAGTATGTATTCCTTGTTTTAGGTTATTGTTTAGGTCCAAAATAAGTAAGGTTAAGTAGACCATTTCATCTGGTCTCTTTGTTTTGTTTTATTTCAGAAGAGGAAGAGGAAATGGAAATAGACCAAGTGGATAGTGAAGACATGATTCCTATGAAAATCAAATGGGTAGGCTGAGGACTCTTAGTACAGACTGTTGTAGATCTGAGAATTGCTTTTGTTTAGGATGATTATTCTTTTTATCTAAATTTATTTTGTAAATTTGATGACCAGAAAAGGAGTACAAAGGGACAGATGAAATACCAAATGAGGGAGATGTTGAATTATGGTCGACAAAACCTTAAGGTGCCCCTTTATCTACAGTTTTACTACCTGTGGAGTGCCCCAATCACCAAGTTTTATCTCAGTCAGGTAAGGAATAACCGTATGCAGTGTGAATGGTACATTTTATAATCACCTGTACATTGAACATATCAATGCAACATAATCAACTTTGGAGTATTTATTGGTAGGCTACTGACAAATAGGTTGATGTAACAGAGCTTTCTATAGTCTCATAATGTCAAAATTTTAAAAATTCTCCGTTAATTACAGTGATTTGCAAATACAAGTTAATACTGGGTCTGACATGTATTACTGTAAATCACTTTTTATTTGCGAGAACTTTATTTTCACATAATTACGCGAGACAGTGTGCTCGCGAAAATTTAATTCTTGCGTATAATAGTATTCCTTAACTCTTTTCCCCTTAATGCATTACATCCTTTACCCCTTGATGCCACCATTTGACACTATGCCCCATTTCCCTGATGCCACCATTTGACGCATACACACAACAACCCTAAATTAGCTCTGTGATTTCCCCTGTTTCTAAGTAAATTCAGCTCTAAATGATAGCCAATCATGTGTTTTACACATTAGGTAATGTTACTATAATTAGTGAAGTCACAGCTTGGTGTGAATTCACTTGAGATTTACCTGTGTGAAAACAATGGCACCCAGTCTGTTTACAAGAAGAAATTTGGCCTTGTCACAAGCAAAATTCAGCCTTAATATTGCATTTTATGTAACATACCTTGGATTGTATTAGCATTCACAATGTTTTTACATCAGTTCTAAAGTTGAATTTAATAGAAATAAAATTTTACAATGAAAATTAGAGAGGAAGAACATCATAGAATCTTTAACAAGAACAACAATGGCCGCCACAGATTTCCCATGTATTTTATGAGTACTAAATAATCTACTTTCAGCATTTTTTCATCAGGGCATTGATTTAGATAAAAACATGTATTAATTTATTTTCCCCAAGACTTTTGCAAGAAGTGGTCAACTAAATATATAAAATATTTATAAACATGCCTGCTTGAACATGATTGGAAGTTTAGTTGGCTCAAGTCTAAGATAATTACCTATCATTATTAATCTATCTTAATTATAATGAGCCTTTTAATTGGTTTGGTATTATATTTTAAGTTTACTGGTATATTTTATAGAAAATTTCTCTCATAGAAAGGATAATATGAAGATTAGTTGTGAAAAATTCATTTTACCTGGTTTCACCTATATATTGTTAATTGTAGATTAATTATTCTTAGAAAATTATATGACAATATGAAAGTTCAATCCATTCCCAAAACATTGATATATAATATGTGACACTTTGATGATGTTTAGGTACTTAATTAGCATGTTCTAAATGTAATGGTCAGTCATTTCAAGTCAGTCAAAATGGCTTCAGGGGGCAGCCAGATAAACACTCTAGGGAAATCGCAAGTGCGTCAAATAGTGGCAACAGGGGGAAAAGAGTTAAGATTATATAGAGCAATAACCATAATTCACGAAAATTTTGTCTTGCTAATCAAGAGTCAATGACTATCTTGCGAAAATAAGATGTCGCGAAAATTAAGTGATCTACAGTATATCAATAGTAAGGTTGTTTATAGCTTTTGAATGGATTACTTGTTTTTCTCCAACAATGCTAAGGGTTCACTTAGCCACTGTTATGTGTCCAGGGGTCTATTATTTTGCTCTGTTTGGATTGTTCACTGGATTTCTGAGATTGGTCACAGTTTGGTATCTTAATATTTATAAATGTATTTCAGTTGCTGTATATAATGTACCTGGCCTTGTTCAGTTATGCAGTCATTATACCATCGTGTGGAGATTTCTACATTGATCTTGTTGTGTATTTTTGGACTGCCATGATTTGGGTTGAAATCATCAGAAAAACCATCATCAAGAGAAAGGTACATATGTCTAATGTTAAACCATGCTGATTATTTAACATGAAAATAACTCTTTACAGTTGGAACTCTGAAGTTAACTCCTACCAGAATTCTGGTTTGCTGATTTTGTAGTGTTGACAAGTTTGGATCTTACTTTCTTTTTAAATTTAGGAATACAAAGAGATGAAGGTTTTCTGGACAGTGATAGAGATATGCCTGATTGGTTCCTTTCTGATCGTGATCGGACTGGTCAGAATCATACCAAAGTTCATCCCCTTCATCAAGTACACGACGGCTAAATTTGTCATGAGTTTGGGCCTCCTATACTTCTACTACAGGTTACTGAGTGTTTTCCTTCCCATCAGCCCCGTCCTGGGCCCTATGATGATCAGCTTCAGAGCTATGGTATGTGTAAAATACATCTATGCAAAATTGTGTGGCTATTTTAAGGGCTTGGGACACTGTGTTTGACATCCATGCCTCAGCTTTTCAATTAATTCAATGGAGACAAGCTTAAACCACCCCACACAAAGATACATCATTTTAGAGTTGGAAATGTAAGAAATATTGAGAATTAAACTGGTTTATGTTCACAAATGCTATGATTTTTTCAGATGAAGAAGGACTTTGTTACTTGGTTGAGGATGTTCCTGGTGTTTATGATTGCGGGGGGTATCACCATTCAGGCGACACTTTACCCTAACTTCCCCGCCTCAGAGGAGGGCATTGTGGGTACCCTAAGCAGGGCCTTCTTTGCAATGTTCCTCACAAAAATTGATGACCTTGACAGTATGTTTCAAACTTGTAATCTGTTAGATCTATGCAAACTTTTTATGCCCCCAGACTGAAAGATCCGGGGGGTATATTGTGTTTGTCCTGTCTGTCTGTTTGTCTCTCTGTCTGTCTGTTGTCAACTTTAACCTAGCCTATAACTTAGTGGGTGGGGTATGGCTTTCATATATCACAGGTGTATTCCTTGTGACAAAACCTTTCTTTGGTACCACCAAATTTGACCTCTTGACCTTGGAGTTTGACCTACCTTTACAAAAATATACCACACATTAACCTTAGCCATAACTTTTGAACAGTTTGAGCTTGGGCTTTCATCCTTCACATATGTATTCATTGTAACAAGACAGACCTTTCAGCTGGTATAAATAATTTTGACCTTGACCCAAGAGTTTGACCCACTTTTTAAAAACCTTGAACCTTGGTCATAACTTTTGAACAGTTAAAAATAGGGATTTCATATTTCACAGGTGTATTCCTTTTAACAAGACCTTCCTTTGGGTATGAAGTCTTTTGGCCTTGACCTTAGGAGTTTAACATGCATTTGAGAGAATTCATCCCTTGCCATAAGCTGCCATATGGGGGCGTCAGGTTTCACAAACACATCTTGTTTTCTTTGATTTTAAAAATCTTTTGTCCCAAGATGACCTACATGTATTGGAGGGATTTCGTATGTTTTTTAGCTCACCTCAACGAAGTTGGGGGAGCTTATGTAATACCCTCGGCGTCGGCGTCGGTGTCGGCGTTGGCGTCCCAGGTTAAGTTTTTT